CTAAAAACGAGGGCTTTCTGCCTGAGTCCTAGCTATGCTGTGTGGCAGAGACGAGAGAGCACCCTCTGGGGAAAAGCTATACGAACACGAGCCTCACCCACTCTCTGACTACACAGAGTACATCTGGCACTGCCTTCGGAAAGCTGTTTTTGATGTTCTGTCCAGAGTTTGTGTGTAAGTGTTCTCTCCGGAAGGGTTAGTCCCTTATAAGCCACCCTGCCCTTACGGACACTGAAACTCTTTCCATGATCTTTTGGCGTAAAGAAAAAAAGTGGCAGCTTAAAACACAGACTCAAAGGATGTGAGCACATCTCTGCTCCAATGGATCAAGGTCGGCAAAACCCTTTCTGGGAAGGGCCACGTAGTAAGTATTTTAGACTTTGTGGGTCATGTGATTTCTGTCACAACTATTCAACTCTACTACGAAGAGTGAAAGTTTCTCCAGACAGTGCATAAACAAGTGTGGCTGTGTTCCAACAAAACTTTATAAAAGCAGGGAGCAGGCTGCATTTGGCCGATAGGCCAAAGTGTCAACCCCAGCTCAGAAGATACTCAGCTACCACATGTTTTCCTGATTTTATTTAAAAAATTTTTTAAAAAGATTTTATGTATTTATTTTTGCTAGAGAGAGCGAGCGAGAGAGAGAGCGAGCGCGTGCAAATGAGCAGGAGTGGCACGCACAGGGAGAGGGAGAAGCAGACCCCCACTGTGTGGGGAGCCTGATGGGAGGGCTCAGTCCCAGGACCCTGGGATCATGACCTGAGCCGAAGGCAGATGCCTAATCAACTGAGCCACCCAGGTGCCCCATTTTCCTGATTTTAAACAGGAGAACAATTCCTTGTTCACTCGACAATAACTGAGTCTGTGCCTCCCGGTGCTCTAACCTCTGCAGGGGATCATCAGGAAAGACCACGTGAAGATTCACGTGCCTCTAAGGGCTGGATGCAGTTATCTAGTCGATTTGAGTTGTTAAGCTTTCTTGGCCAAGTATCTGAAATGTTCTTGTTCCATTTATGGTTTATCTATGGTATCTGTGGTGCCCATCTGTGCTTGGTGAGGGGTCTTGTCTCCATGCGACTGTGGGAGTCTTTGTTGGTGAAGGATGACTGGGGAATGAATGAATTTGTTTAGGATAGCAAACAGGGACAGAAAGATCTGACAAAGGCACTCTCTTGAGAAAATAAATTGAAATTATCCGAACAAGTTGCATTTCATCTGATGCTAGGAAAAAATATTAGGTTTATTACTGCAACCTGGAGGTACTTTTCTGAATGAACGCTGAATCGAAGTTGATTGAGGACCTGACTGTGATTCTTCTGATGAAACTATACGCTAGCACAATACGATGTCTATCTTTCATTTCATGCTTGACTCTCCTATCTGATCACAAAAAGGGAATTTTTACAAAAATATCCGAGGACTCCATCAGTTTTTCCTAGGCTGCTTAACTCTTTGGCCCACAAATCATTATCTTCTGAAATACTCGTATCATCATCCTGATCAGTATTTTCCCCTTTGTTTAACAAGACTGCTACCACTGGCAGGCTTTGCATGACACTTGTGAAGTTCTCCAAAATCACTTTCATTGACTTAATGAAATCAATCTGCAAATCAACTGCAACTGGACCATCAGAAAGACAATCCACCTGCCAAAACCAGAGGCAGCAACCCACGTGAGAGTCCAACAGGGAGGATGTTTGAACCGTCATCTCTTCAGAAAGGATTCTCATTTTATGATGCTTCTTGCTTCCATGATGAGTCTTACTACTGTAGGGAACAATACATATGCACATACCAGAAATTTATAATTGGAGGCATGCAATACTCACGTGGCAACGGTAGAGGATCTATCCTTCTTTATCTGTGCAAAAGTAGGGCTGGCAATCAACGGACAGAAATCCACGGACATCAATACTGTGTGCCAAGGGCTGAGAGCACAGACACAAACACAGTCCCTGCCCACAAGGCGCTCACAGTCTATCAGAAGACAGACGAGTAAGGATAGAGGAGACAATCCCATGGATGGGGGCAATCAAAGACTGCGTAGGACACAAGAAATCCTCTCCAGTGTTCCCTCACTGACTGGTTTGACCGGGATCTGAGCATCAGTGCTTGGCCAGGCAGTGGGAATATGGCAGTGAACAAGACATTGGCTCCAACTCTTGCCAATCAAGTTCAGTCGACAGATCATCTGATTACAGCTTGTAATGAGGGTCCTGAGGAAAATGAATGGGAGGCAGTGATGGAGAATGCACTGGGGCCCTGCTTAGGGCTGAGCGGGGGCGGTGGTTAGGGAAAACTCTGAGGGTGTGTCACTGAGCCTGAGACTAAAAGGCTGGGAAGGAGCCAGCTGGCCACGCTCTGAGCAGAGGGAAGAGAGTTCCAGGAGAAGAAACAATGCACGCGAACGCTGGAGTGGCAAGGACCTCGGGGTGTCAGAGGCACTGAATGGAGGCCAGTGGGCGGGAACTCAGTGGGCGGGAGGGAGGATGAGCTAGGAGGGCAAACGGAGGCGGGAAGGCAGAGCAGGCCGTGCAGGGCGTTGCAGGCCGCAGTCTGGACCTCGGCGATTCTGAGCGCAGCGGAAGTCGTCGCAGGTATCAAGCAGGAAGACAAGAGCATCTGATTTCTGTTTTCAGAAGATCCTTCCAGGTCCTGCGAGGAGAAGTGATGCAGGTGGAAGGCTGGGAAGGGGGACGGTGGGGACCAGTTCGAAGGCTACAGGGACCTTCTGGGGAGTCCCAGGCGGCTGAGCTCGGAGGGCTGGCAGTGGAGGCGGAGAGGCGACGGGACGGTGTACGGTGGAAGACACAGCTGGGAGGCGCTGAGAGAACGGTGTGCGGGGCAGATGAGGGAGGACTCAGCGGCGACCTCCAGACGCAGAGCTGAGCAGCGGCGGCAAATGGCAAAGCCGTGACTTGTCAGAACACAGCAGGGATGGTTGGGAAAGGGCCCCCTGAGGTAACCTGAGGCGAGTTTTGAAGGCTGCGTGTGTGTTTTCTCGGCTGACGTGGGAGGGAGAATATTCTGAACAGAAGCAACAGGGCATGGCTGGGAGCGTGAGGGAAGCGAAAATGGGTCCAGCCGAGTCCGGTCTTCAAGGCCTCGCCCAGCAGCGTCAACTGGCAGTCAGCGGTGTCTGGGACGCGGCTCCCGGCGTTTCTGACCACGTGCGCTTAGCTGGCAGACGCTCTGCTTTTCTTCGGCCCCGTGACCTGGCCAGCCTGCACGCGAGCTCCTGCCCTGTAGCCCCTGGCTGGAGAAGATGCTCCCCAGCGGGTGCTCCTCTCCTGACACTCTCCGCAGCACGGGCTTCCCCTGGGCAGCCCTCCCCACCCCTGCCTGCCTGCCTGCCGTTTCCCCAGGCCAGCCTGGCTCAATGACCAGCTGCAGGTAGAGGTGAGGCAGGTTTGCATCTCAGAGCAACTACCCCTGGTGCAGAATCAATGAGAAGTGGGGAAACAAGAGGCAGGCAAACCAGCTAATGACAAAACTTAAAAGAAGCCTGCTATTCCGGTAGCAGTAAGGGAGAGGCGTAAAGCCTTGTGTTATTCTTTATGTTCTAGAGAGAAGAGATGCTCGGTATCACCATGTACACTAGGACAGGCTCTGATTCCGAAGGTAATGGAGCCTCTGTTATAGCATGATTCTTCATGATGAGGGTTTTGCGGTATCATCGAATATATAGGAGGGGGTAATTGAAACTTGGGATTCAACGAAAGGTACATATATTACTGGTACGAAGAGCCACAGGCATTCTTAGCTAATGGGACAGACACCAAGGCTGTGTCTATGGATATATTCATGGAGACTACGGGAAGCAACACTTGTGAAGGATGGAAGAGTGATGGTTAGCAAAGGGTCTAGCTATCCTAAACACTCCATTCTAGAGGCACAACACAAACAAAGTAGGAATGCGGACTGGGAAATTAAGCAGATGTATCTCAGATGAGTAACTGGGTGCGGGGCATGACATCCGGTGTTCCAACAAACAAACAAAAAAAACCCAGAAGAAACCAAACAGAGCAAACTTAAGACGTCCAATCTGTACAAATGTATGGTGTCTACATCTAGGACAACAGTAATGGCTTGTTTTGTCTTCCCCCATTTGTCTGTGATGATTCTTGTCAGATTTTATACCACACACAGTATCTATGCTGTCTTAGATAAGACCGTGATGACAGACTATTTCTCCTGATTACTTCTGGTATACTTTTAAGAGCTTACAGATAGCACTGTGCATCCATCAGATGTTCTGTTTTGATAGTACTGTTTGAAAACAAAATTAAATAGCAGCTGAATAATGGGGTGGCTGCTAGACGCACCTCGACAGGGAAAGCAGACGTCGGGCCCAGAGGGAAAATGAGGCAGCAGGAAGTGTCTGTTCCCGGCCTTGCCTCCCCAGCCCTGGTCTGATGTGGACCGGCCTCAGCAGGTCCCACCTGCACAGGGAGGTTACCGCCCAGGCCCCACCTCTGGTCTGGGCCCTTCTGGAAACAGATAACCATCTGGGACAATTTTATCAGCAGGCATTTATTAAGTACCTATCGCTCGGCTCTGTGTTAGCTCATTCATTTCACTTAAATCTCAAACTTTATATGCTGTAAAGTTCCCTCTTTAGCTTTTAAAAGGCAGCTATAAATGAGATGTGCTTAACTCTCCCTTTCTACCACTAATTCTTTTATATCTCTGCTGGAGGATGGAGCCCCAAATTACACACAATGCTCTGAGAGGGATTTTATCAGGCCTGTTAGTCAGCATTTACTTTAAGACACTAAAAAGTCTAAAAATGCCCTCAGTGCTCATTATCACTTTTTCCATCAGTGGACTTTGTGGCTCTAATTGAAAAGAAAAAGGCTGGCCGACGCAAATGGAAATAAATGTGTCTCTGGTGCACGGAAGAGAACTGAGTAACGTGAGATGACAAGGACATTGACGGTTGGGTCGGAGCTTTAATGTGGGCCTCAGAAAAACACATAGTAAATTAAAGGGCGACTTACTCGTTCTTGTCCAGCTGTATCCCAGATTAGGAATTTATGTAGCTCATTTTGGTACTGGACAGTCTTGGTCATAAAAGATGCCCTACAAAGAGAGACCTAAATGATCAGAACACAGTTATTGAAAGCACGATGCTGCAGCCCCAGCCGGTCACGGCGCTTAGACTCAATGCCCAAACTCCCGCTCCGCCCTCGCCCCTCACTGCGGTCCTCTCAGCAGTGTTCAGGGGGTGCTCAGAGGCCGGCTGCATATTCTGGGTCAAAATAAAGCATTAGGCATATCTGCCCAGAAGAGGTCTTTGGTTTGTGATCGCCTAAGCTCCGTTATCAAAAGAACCAAGAGATAATTTGGCAATCCAGACATCAGCCTCCCTTGTAAAATACACAGAAGCGGTTAAAGAGATGGTATCATGGGAAAACTTCTGGAAAAACCTGTGTGTCCGGGAAGTGAGTGCACTAGTAAAACATACTGGGCCATTGGGGTTTGTCCACCCCCCAGTAGCAAACCACATGAATAAGAGGTAATGTAACACCAGAGTTAATAAAATTAAGATGCCAAACCAGGAGCAGGAAGATGGCCGGAGCGGCGATGACCCCAGTGACCACTTCTGAGTCTCGAGACCAGAACAGCCTCTCAGCTAACCTGCCAGGCCACATCAGCCCTTCAGGCCTGGAAGGATGGTATGCAGGTCACCCTGCTTACTCGGAAGGGCCGCTCTGCCTGCGGGTCTTTGAAGGTTCCTATCATTTGGGGGTCTTCTACTTTTTGGAGAACGTGTGAGGAGCCACAGGGGCCCAGAGCATGTGCCTGGAATGAAAGGACTCCTGGACACAGGTTCAAAGTCTCGGGGCTGGCTCGGCTCCAGTGCCATCTTCCACCCCCGCCTTACAGAGCTCCCTCCTGGGAAGTTCTCTGTCCTCTGGGCTCCTCGCAGAACCCGGAGGTGATTACGCCTTCTTCTGTATCCCTAACGAGCCTTCGGGGGCCAAGGGCCGAGTTGTACTCTTGGAATCATACCCTAATCATCTTAATCAGGACATGAACGCGATGGCTAGGCATTTTCAAATATGCTGGATGTCTGAAGTTTTTTTTGAGAGTCAACTAATTGTGCAAGTTCTTCAAGGAAGCGCAAACTGAGATCCACAGGATGACTTTCTGAAGAATCACTGAGCTTAGACAAGTATCAGAATCCTTAGTTGTAAAAACTTTAACTCTGACACAATGAATTCCCAGCAATTTTTATATCAATTTATGGGTTAGCTAGCAGGCCTCCGAAATGGTGACAATGATGAGGAAGGGAAAACAGACTGGGAAGCAAGATCACATTTATTGGAGAGGTGCCATTTACTGGATATTTATTTACTGGAAATTTACCCCTTGGTATCCTTAGTAAAGTGCTTTCTGCATAGAAGGTGCTCGGTAAGTGGTTACTGTATCAAGAACTTTGGTGACCCACCAGGATTAAATCAGGATGTGCAACGTGATTTCTCACTTAGGAAAGATCTAAGCATTCAAAAAGCCTTGTTTATTGTGAGGATTAAATGATACGATGTACGCGGAAGTGCTCTGTGAATTGTAAAGTACGAAACCTACACAAGGTATTACTATTAGTATTTAAAGGCAACTCCAGGAAATGTTTTAGTTTAGACTTTGCAATTAGTCGTAAAAGCTTACAACTCCACTCTCCATCAATTATGGCTGTGGTGTTACATTTAGGAGTGACAACAGGCGTCCAATAGAGGCCTGTTAACACAGCCAATGCATCCAACACAACCATTTTGGCTGCTCAAAGAGCAAGAGAAGAAACAGGCTTCAAGCAGACAAAAAAAAAGCTGAGAAAGATAAATGCAACAATTAAAAGGAAATGTTTCATTTCAGGATCAGAATTCACTGATGTTCAAGCTACCTGCCAACCATGTCTCCTTTAATGAACACATGGATTCATTACTCAGGAGAAAGACACACAAAATGGCAGCTGTAATGCAATGAAAGTATCTTAAAGATTAAAGCCAACCTTCTGTCTGACTGGAGACTATCCTTCTAGCCTCCCTGGCATCGTCACTCTCAACACACCTCCATCTTGTCTACACTGAGTTCTGGTGAGCCCAAAGCTCTCTACTTGGGTCTTCTTGGGTCCAGAGCTGTTGGCTTCTTGTCCTTTATCCCAGCATCACTTGTCCACACTGCCAGGTCCTTAAAAATCTTGTCTGTCCTTCTGTCTTAACCCCCCAGAAGGGACCCACACATCTCTGTACCTGCTTCTCTTCTGGGGGTGGGATGGCTGTCTTGCTGGAGGAAAGCCACAAAGCTGCGTGGACCAGTAGGAAGACTGTCCTTTTTAAGCTAGGCCACCTCTTCGGGCTCTCACTCCACATAGCAATTACTCCTCATTCTTCCTATGACTTCTTGCCAGCCCCTTACCACTTCCTGCTACCCTCCTTCTCAGGGCAGCAGCCTTCTCGTGGACAACAGAGATCGTAAGCCCGCAATCCCCCAACGTGTTTCCCAGTCAACCCTTCCAACTTGAGAATCAACACACTGCCCTTCACACTGGCTGTGATTTCCGCTCTTCTGACTTCAGTGGAGTCAGAGAGGTCCTTTCCATCGTGCTGCCCGATCATGATCAGCATGTCCTGTCTGGGCCACCACAGTCAGCCATGGTCTTCTGCTCCCAGTCTCAAATCTTTCCACCTGTGCCTCCTTCTGTCTTTACACTGACTGCTCCTTTGCCTGGAATGCTCTCCCCCCCGGCTCACCCGTGGCTACATGCTCCTCATTCTTCTGGTCTGAGTTCAAAAATGTCAACTCACCCGTGGCTACATGCTCCTCATTCTTCTGGTCCGAGTTCAAAATGTCAATGATGGCAGAAGCCCGTGCAGGGCCCCCAAACCAGGCAGCTTCCCGCTCCGACTCCACTCTGCAAGTCACACACTGTCCTGTTTCGGCTTCAGGATGCCTACTACCGTACTGGTACTCGATGTCTGACTGGCTTATTTGCGTGTCTTAATTTACCTGTCTAAGCCAGGGAAAATGTAAGCTCCATGAAGGCAGGGATCTTGCTGTCCTTCTTCCTCTGTAACTGGTGTATCTTCCTCATCTACCTTCTCCATGCTACCCTAGATTCCTGACAAAACATTTTCCCTGTTCCCACTGACTCTTCTGCTTTCCAGTACTCCAACAGTGCTCGGCGTCTTGGCCAAGCACAGCATAAAGTGCTCGGGCATCTGAAACACAGGCAGAGTTGAAATCACAGGTGACCCTTGCTCTCCACCTGCAGTCAGGTGAGCGGCCTCTTGGATGTGAGGGATGTGGTTCAACAAGTGGGGTGGGGGGCCTTCCTGTCCACTCCTGCCCAGCCACCAGCTCTAAGCTCTCTCCTAGTCAAAGGGCACGAGGCAACACTGGGCAGCCACTTCAAACCACCATGTCCCTCCATCACTCAGACCTCTGGAATTCTGTTCAGGAAGCACCTGTGGCACTTTATGGGTTCTCCTGGCTCATGTGCGGAGTCAGGAGCTCCTTCCCACCCAAGGCCCCAGCTACAGTGGCCGTGGGAGATGACTGCACCTGCCTCGCCTCCCCTGAGCCCTACGAATGCCTCTTTATTGCAACGAGCATCTCTGTTGACTTTTGAGAGCTTGAAATCTTGGCCTATCACACCTGTAAGAACTAATTCCTCCTTAGTCTACATAGTGGTAACACCTGGCTTTAGGGCCAGACAAGGAGGGGGTGTGGCCCAGGGGACCGCTATGGGGGCGTGCGGCAGGTCTCCTGCAGGACTCACTGGGATGAATCCCTTCCCTAGATTCACATTTTTGTCTGTAAGGACAGCACTTTTGACTTCAGCTGAACTATACGGACTCCGGATACTCTGTCACCATCTCACACGTAACCGTGGTGAAGGCAGGGCTTCTCCACACCCCCCAACAGTGGTCATAAACTCCACATTCTCAAATCAGAACATGATGTCTGCTCTCCACAGAACACAGGCTGGTCTGCAACTACTTTGTCCTTTGTTACTTGCATCCAGTTTTGTAGAACTGTCTGGTTCTTCATTTTATATTTGATCTACACTCGAACCTCAACCCCTGAGATAAATTCATAAATTGGACCCTAATCTTTGAGCAGGACTACTACAATTTGTCCCTCCCATCGTCACTTGAGCTCCAGGATCACTCCTTTAGCATTCAAGTTAAATGATGCAGAGGGTATGATAACTTCAATATCTTGCTTTTTGAAAAACAGGCAATGGCTTCCTGCCATCCAAATGATACATTTTTATTTTCCAGCCTGCCATTTACTTGTCTGATAACCTTGTTTTTCACTACTAAACCATCTCTCTTCACTCTGCTAGGCAGATCTTATTACCTCTTTAATCGAAAGTCCCCACTAGCATTATTTCCTAAAGCTAGAATGCCTTTCATCTACTTCTCCATTTTTCACGACATTCTAAAAATAGGACTTCCATGCACACCAAGTAGCCATGCTCCTCGGTCAGACTACTTGTTCCCAATGAAAATACTTGCCACAAGGTGTTTTAAAAGTGTCTTTTCTGTAACTGTAGCAGACTTGGTGAGCTCTCTCGGAACACAGGTGTGCCCTGCCACCACACTCCAGCAACTCACTTGACTGCACATCCTCTCCTTGGAACGGCACAGGGGATGCTGTCATCCCTACGATGCTACGTGGTGCCTTTTAAGGATGAACAACTCAACGTACTTAAAAATTAACTTCTAGCCAACTCTAAATCTCACGCAAACGATGCTTGTATCTCTAGGTGATAGAGAGGGACAGAAATGCCACTGGATGCACCAAGATGGAGACACAAGAAGACCACAAGTATGTGCAATCCGGTCACTCCTCTAGAGGACATACCCAGGGGTCTTCAGAAGAGTTTAGGACAGTGCCAGGAACTTGACAGGTGCTCAGGGAGAATTAAGTGGATTTCAGGGCACGTGTGGCTTCTGTTGGAGTAGTTCAAAGAGCCACAAGTCTCTGAGTCTCCATGAATTCCATGAGTTCTACGAATTCCACATAAGCCATGTGGGCTCTGCAGTCCCATCTGTCTTTAACCCTCCCTTCAA